AAAAGTGACTATTGGAAAGTTGTATGGGTTGTTTCGGTGCCAGCTATGTAAGTAGTGCTACCAGATTGCTTGATTAACTCATTTTTAAGTGAAGATTTATAAAAGTTAAACATTATGTAATTATAAACAATTTTGTTATAACGCGGTGAATATTGAATTCTCCAGTAAATTATTTTTTTTAATAACTTTTAATTGACTTATCCAATTTAATCAAAATTTTTGTAAAATAATCTTGATTATATATAAAATGATAATCAAATGTCAAATCAAAATCTTCGATAGTATGTGACCAGATATTTGCGGTTGTTTGCGGACACTCGCAGCCGTACTGTTGACAACATTATCATGAGTATCAATGTATGCAGTCAAAATGTGAAGATTAAAAATTTTACAATAAAAATAGGTATCAATTTGTAAAGCATATATCAGAGTGTATTTTGATACAAAAATAATGCAAATCATTTGAGTATTAGTGGAGTTATGATATAAAACACGCAATCAGTCCGCACATAGACTTGCATTGTTTACAAAATATGAGTGAAAAGCAGTGTTTCATGCATTGAAGCCCACGTTAATGTTGTCAACAGTACGGCTGTGAGTATCCGCAAACAATCGCAATTATCTGGTCAAATACTATCGAAGATTTTGATCTGACATTTGATTATCATTTTATATATAATCAAGATTATTTTACAAAAATTTTGATTAAATTGGATAAGTCAATTAAAAGTTATTTAAAAAATAATTTACTGGAGAATTCAATATTTACCCCGTTATACTGACATTTGATTATCATTTTATATATAATCAAGATTATTTTACAAAAATTTTGATTAAATTGGATAAGTCAATTAAAAGTTATTTAAAAAATAATTTACTGGAGAATTCAATATTTACCCCGTTATATTTCTATATTTAGAAAGATTATTATTTTTTATTATTTGAAAAAATTTTAAAAATATAAAACATATATTTTATAATGTTGTACTGAAAGTATTTTAAATTTACTTATTTATTTTATTATATCAGGGTACTTTATGATCTTTAAATATACCGTATAAATCAAACTTAATCTTAATTGTAAAACTGATCGAGACATCCGTTGAGTTACTTTTTTGGTTTCTGTTTAAACTATAGCTGGGCAGTCTTTTTTAGTATATCACAGGTACACATTCATAGTATTCCATAAAAAGGTGGCGCAACGGTCAGTAAAAAAGTATAGTTTTGTCAATATTAAACAAGAAACACCGCGTGAATGGCAGCCTAATACAGTCAAACATCTAGGTTATCATCAAAACCGTTCCAGGGCATTTGCTTAATAACATAGCTTAGTTGACAACGTATAAATTGCATTGAAATATATTAAAAATTCATTTATTAATATAAAATTACATATTATTTACTGGTTAGAGAAATAATCTGTTATTTTATTAGTTTCTCGCCCATTTTTATAGTGGTTGGCTTTCAGTCTATCAATAAACGTCATTTAAAACAAAATTTAATTATTTTAACACGTTTTAATGAGATTTTTGATATTGTTTGCGATTATCAACAATCTTATAAACATTTGACGTTTAACTATTATTTAATAACACTTATGTGTTTAATATATGCATTCATTTGAATGATTAATAATTTTAAATTTAATCATTAAAATATAATTTGAATATTGAGATGACACTTGGCTTTACTACTCCAACTTACTAATAGTAAGTACACTGCCCAGCAATAGTTTAAACTGTTTCAAAATGTTTTAATAATTCAAAAAAAATTTAATGTTGATCAATTATTTTAACTTTATCTAATTTATATAAAACTTTTATTATACAAATTATAGTTCATAAACACATTGATTTTAAATAATCCATATAAATATTAATAGAACATTGCATTTATATAATAAAATAAAACAGTTTATTTAGTATAAGTTTTAGGATTTATAATAATCATTTTAAATTTTAGCCGTGTAGTTCATAAATGTTTGTTAAGATTATTTTACTTTGCTTTAAAAACAATGTCAAATGATTTGGGAAACTGTATCCACAAATTAACAAGGTCCGGTTCGAGTACATCTGGTGTTGGATCACCATGCTCGCTATGCAGTTCAATGCGATAATCACTGGTCAATTGAATAAATCTGACCAGGGCCAAAACCAAAAATAGGTCATTAATGGCCAACGATTCACCGGGACATATGCGGCGACCGTAACTGAACGGCATATAAGCCACGGGTTTTGTTTGAATAAATTGACCATTTTCGTCAAGAAATCGTTCTGGCTCGAATTTGTCTGGATTTTTCCAGTGTTTTGCATCCTTCATAATTGCTTGCTGGTGCAATACTACCTGGGTGTTTTGAGCCACGGGATATCCACCTATTTATATTAAAATTATATATTGAATTTTTTAAATAACATAATACATGTACCTATTTTGCTATTAACTAATGCCTTATGAAATACACCGATCGGGAAAGGATTTTTGTGCCGTAAAATTTCTGATATAAACGCGAGCGTATAATTGAGCCGTGACTTGTCCTCAACCACTGGCACCCGATCGCCGATCTCACGGTTAATCTCTGCGCTTAACTTATCCTGATATTCAGGCTTATATGCCATGAATAGCAGTAACCATTGAAAAGTTGCATGCGTTGTTTCGGTGCCCGCTATTTATTTAAATTTAAATGCTCTTAATTTATTTGTTAAAACATTATAACAATATTACCCATAAACAATTCAATTAAAACCGCCGGTAGGTTATCATCGGTAAAATAGGGCGCTGTCTGCTTGTCCTCAGCAATAGATTCGTGTTTAGCGGCGATAAGTATATCACAAAAATCGCGCAAATTTTTACTGTCATATGTTTTGTCGTGCGTTTGGTATATATTTCGCGAATATTTCATCATTTCATCGAAATATTGTTTATATTTAATCAATGGATTGGCCATAAAATAGCGCATCACTGGTATGAACTCATATAAAAATAGCGTGTTACCAAGATCTGTTTGAAAATCCGATGTGATGTATTTAAATTTTTTCAATTCAGGTTGCTCGATGTCAAATCTGTAATCAATGCAAATCGATATAATTACATATTACCTATTATTAATTTATCATTTTAATTAATCTATCAAATATTAAAACAAATGATTTACTTTTGGCTGAAAACAATTGATCCCAAAATATTGGCAAACATATTGTAAACGTATAGTTTGGGTCGAAATGGTTTACCGATGCCTTCGGTGGCGACTATTTTGTCAATTATTTCGCTTACGTTTTCGGCCACCACTTCAGACAATGCCTTTGTTTTGGCGTATTTTCTGTTATAACATATTAATAAAATGTTCAATATGGTAGATTAAGTATGTTTGTTGTAAGAATACATTATCGTATTTTGTTTGTTGTAATAATTCAATATAAAGTTTACATTTAGTTATCATTTTTAAAAAAATAAAACTTTTAAATTTATCATAAATATTTTATAATTAATAAATTTTTGTGTTACATTATATGTGATTATATAATACCGAATAGTGGTGTGCGATATGCGGCGTAAACTTTCCCAACTGTGGCCGTAATCATCAAAGACAACAGCTCTGTGTTGTTCATTTGAAAATATGCTTCCTGGTAAAATTAACAATTATATGTAGACATTTAATTGATGTAACAACATTGAATAGTTCATAATTTTATATGGATATATTTTGCAATTATTTAAATAATATATTTAACAATTAAATTATTTAAATAATATATTTAACAATTAAATTATTTAATGTTCACCAATCATTTAATTATAAATATAAATTAAATAAATAATTGTTATTTAAAAAATGAATATTAAAAAAATAATAACATATGTTAAGTTTATAAGTTCTTAAATCAAAATACAATTGTATTATTTTTACTAATTATAAAGTAGAATGGTACGGCATGCTAACACGATTAAACCATAAATTGTTTTTTATTTTACAATTAAATCACTTGTTTTTAAATATATAAATATTTATAGTAATACAGTTAGACCCTATTATAAAAAGATGCTATATCAAAAAAGTTGCTAATTAACTCATTGGTTTTGGACAAAAATGGCAGCAATTTTTGTTGTCATTTGTATTTGTTAAATAGTGTCAAACAATTAACTTTTGCTATGATTTACTCATTTTAATCAATAATGATTATTTTATAAAATGACAAATTTGTGTATGTGAAATACAACATACGGAAGAATAGTACATGGCTTGTAATATTGCCAAACTTATTGATAAGTCAAATATAATTTTTAACAAATCATCTTGCTTATCATTGACTATAGCGTTAGTAGTGCTGTCTTATCATTAATCCCATCATCAAAAATATTATTATTTTTATTTGGCTCTATAATAGTATTTAGTATTTTGATGAATCAGTTAAATTCTATAACTGTTCTATATTTTTAATGATACATAAAATAGGAACTTAAAATATCACATAAATTAAATTTAATAACTATCATTTATTTTTGATTAACGATATACTTCTAATATTAATTATGCATCTGATTCTGGCAATTGACATTGATGCATTTATTTTTTATTTATAATTAATTACCTAATTGTGATGCTGGTCGACCAGTAAATTCAATTTTATTGAAAGCCTCTCTGCCCAAATCCAAATCACATATAAACACAAATGGTAAGGGACCGATCCACAGGGTAAACACCGGGCCATAGATCTTGCTCAGTTTTAGAATCTCCTCATTCCAATGAGTTGTGTAATTACGGAACACTACATATAAATTGATCAAAATTAATAACATTTTTATATTTAATACAAACTGCATGGTTATATATTTTACGTGTTCTATATTTTAGTATTTCAATACTATCAAGTAATATTATTTTATTTGTATTATCATATCATTATTATCATTAAGATATCAATAGTTTTACAACACTCTTGTTTATAAATACTATGTTTTACTTACTTTTTAGTATAATTTTTGTTTTATTTAAAATAAAACACCTATAAATTAAGTAATTATTATAAACATATTTCTAACATGATTCTTTAATAAAAATAAATTGCATAAATGTAAGTGTAATATACATGTACATGTACTGTATGTGCAATTGTATTATACACTTTATAACATTTTAATAATCGTCAATTAAATAATAATTATTACTTAATTATAGAGAAAATATAAAATACATGCATACATTAAGAGTAGATAAATTATACTTACTAAGTACATTGCCAATAAGTGGTAATGGTATGGGACCGGGCGGGTAGTTGTATCGTTTAGCGTAGAATCGCGCGATGTAATAAACCACCAGACCAATTATGGCGCTTGCACCAATGGTCTTGATAAATGTTCCAATACTATTAAAGTTAAATAATTATTATTATGCTAATACAAATTAAATAATCAAGTACTATTTTACAAATTATTATTTTTATTTTACTAAGTGAATGAAAGAGAGAGAGAGAGAGAGAGAGAGAGAGA